TACGATCCTGAATGTGAGTAGCAATATCAATGATGAATCGTACGATACTGATGCGATGGGGGGCCACGGGAGACCGCTGGCGGCTACAGGAGACCACAAGGCGCCCGACCGATTCCAGATCCGGTGATCCCCGCTCTCGGCTTCTCAGAAGAATTCCATGGCACCCTTACAGACAAGTGGTTTAGGGAACTGTTGCAAACTTTAAGGCGAATGCGATCGGTGCTGAGGCGAGGGCCACATTCTGAAGAGGTGCCGCCTTCCATGTTTGAAGCAGTTGCTAGTTTACATATTAACGTGCGCGGCGTAGGCGTGAGCCACATTCTGAGGGGCCGCGCTCCATCCTTGAAGGTCTCGCAGTATCGTATAACGAGTGTGTGCGGTGCGAAGGCGAGAGCCGCATTTGGAAATCACATTGCTCCGTCATTGAATTGGTTCCAGTTTTTGTCCGACGAGCATGCGTGGCGCCAAGGCCAGCCACATGGTGAGAACGACCCCCTCCAACCTTGGGACTGTTGCAGCTTTCAAGCCTCAGGGTCATAAAGGGTGAGGAAGCCTCAGGCGAAACACCTGGCCCGCCCCATCGGCACAGCTGGGGGTGCGACAGGGAGAAGCATTTGTATCAGGAAGCTGGGTGGAGGAGGGGGAGGACTCGCGTCATATCTGACATCCTACCCCTCCCTCCCATCCCTTACCATGGCGTAGATCCCCTCTCTACTCGCACAGTCGGATGTTGAGCAGGGCAAAGATCCCCAAAGGGTACGCGATGCATTGTAGAGCACGGCACGGCATGGCGTAGAAGAGCACCGCAAAGCGTAGTATGTCACAGCATGGCGTGGCGTGGCGTAGTGAAGAATTGCATCACAAAGCCTTGCAACGCAAAGCATGGCATCGCACAGCGGCCCCGAACATAATATTGCATAGCATGGCGTTGAAGATCAAAGCGTAGCATGGCATAGCATGACGTGGCTCTTACGCACTGGATATGACAGCTGCAGCTGAAGGCATGGCATCGCGCAGCGGAACGCAACCTAGCATTGCATTGCATGCCGTGGCATGGCACGGGAAATGACGCCAGCGCTGCAGCGGGAGCGCGATTCGGAACGAGCGGAAGCGCGGAAATGAGGCCAGCGCTGCAGCGGGAGCACGATTCGGAACGAGCGGAAGCACGGAAATGAGGCCAGTGCTGCAGCGAGAGCATCATTTTGAAAAAAACCAAGCGAAAACCCAATCCGGGAAATCTTGTGTGTAAAAAAACAGTACGCGGAGGGGTGCCCGCTATCTTCCGCACGCCATCAAGGGATGGAGGAGAGTGCATTCATATTGTGTAATTGTGGTGGAGGAGGAGGAGGAGGAGGAGGAGGAGGAGGAGGAGGAGAGATGTCCGGATGAGGGGGCGGCGAACAGGAAGTGGCTCCTGGCAGAGCCCCCCCCAGGCCTTAGGATCGAGCGCACTTGGCTCTGGCGTTCCCTTCCTCTCCTGCCTGGCCGCCGTCGCCGCCGACCCCGTCGTCGTCGCCGCTGTTGCCGCCGTCGTCGACGTCATCGACGTTTTCGTCGTCGTCGTCGCTGTCGTCGTCTGTCGAAGGGGGGAATGGGGAGAAGGTGTGTTACGAGCGGGAGGGAGGGAGAGAGAGAGAGAGAGGCGTAGAGCGGGAGAAGGAGGAGGAGGAGCAGCAGGAGGAGCCCCTCCTCCTCCCTCCGCCAGAGGAGGGAGGAGGAAGGGGAGGAGGAGCTGGACGACGACAGCGACGACGACGACAACGACTTCGACCATCCAGTGTCGTCGACGACAGTTGGCCGTCATTGGCGTCCGTCGTCGTCGACCGTTGACAGTCGACGTCATCGTCGTCTGTTGTCGTCGCAGTCGCAGTCGTCGACTCTCGACGTCGTCGCCGTCGCCGTCGCAGCGGTGGACCCTCGACGTCCTTGTCGCCGCCGTTGTTGTGGTCGACCGTCGTCGTGGTCGATCGTCGTCTTGGTCGACCGTTGTCGCCGTCGTCGTCGTCGTCGTCGTCGTCGTCGTCGACCGTCATCGTTGTCGACGTCGTCGTCGCTTCCGGCAGGACGACGACGAGGAGACATGGGGGGAGAACGATGGGAAGAAAGAATACAGTGACCCTTCACCTCCTCTTCCCCTCTTTCTCCTCCTCCTCTTCCCCCCCTCCTCTCCCTCTCCCTCCTTGTCCCTCCTCCGCGACCCTCCTGTCCCCCCCCTCCCTCCCCTCCTCGTCACTCCTCCTGCTTGCCCCTCCCCCCACCCTCCTCCCCCATCGCCCCTTCCCTCCGCAGGCCGCCTGTCCGCAGGCCCGTAGGTAGGCATCCTCTCTGACGCTGACGACGCCGACGACGACAGCACAGGCGACAACACAGACGACAACGACGATGCCACCGATGACGACTATGACATTGACGACCTCGACGACGACGACGATGTCATTGCCAGCGACGACGACGACGATGGCGACAGCGTTGACGACGATCACGACGGCGATGTCGACTT